ATGCCCAGGCTGCAGACAGCATTCAGCCAGGACGTGAAGACTACTATTATTTCCACACTACAGATGAAAGAACTGGAGGTTTACCACTTGATCTCAGCTATCCCCTCAGAGGCAGAGAGGCGAGGGGAGGGAGAAGCCCATGCTGCGGGCTTATGGCTGTGAGTCCCACAGTGCCTGCTCCAATGGACCAAGCTGGCTTTAGGTTTACTTAACGCTGGGTTTGCTGAGTGGTGTCTGAGAAGCTCTTTCCCCAGCTTCCTCCAAAGGGCAGCAGGAGTCCCACTCAGAGTCCCAGGTGCTGTGCTGGTTTGCCACGCCATTGTGATCTTCCATATCCTTCCTGCTGAAATGGGAACAGAGGATTGCATGCACCCTGTGCTAACTGGTCTAAGGTCTGGGGTTAGTTCATGAACAAAGGGCTCACAAGTAGGGACCACGAAGAGAGAGAACTCCTGATGAGCCATGGGTTTCCCCACCCAGAAGCAGCTCATACCTGAGAGGTACCTAGACAAAACAGATGGTGAATCAACTGGCTTCAATTGTGATTTTTTCCTATCACCTGTGGGGCTGGGTGGCGGACTCTGTTCCGCCTTTCCCCTCCTCAGGAGCATCTCTTGTGCACACATCCCCTTGCCAGCTCTTCCTGCCTTGTCCCCTTCGTCCAGCCAACTCTTAGACTTCCTTCACATCTCCCAGCTTCCTAACTTCCCTCGGCCTTTGTCCCTTGCCCTCTGTGGTTAGCTGTTCTGCCTCTGCGCTCAGCCACACTCCTACCTCCCTTGTTGGTCCACATCAAGAAGACTTCCAAGTCCTCGACTGATGCCCCTTATATAAGTGCTCAGGAATCAGTCCTGCCTAAATAAACAAATGAGTGGATGAAAAAATGCTTGATGATAAGATCATCAGTTAAAGCACTTTCTTTTTTAGACATGGAATCTGTGGTTATTACAAGCAGCAATATAATTAGGGACAGGAAGGGGCATCCACATTGTCAGGCTTCCTGTGACCCTCGTCCTTTTATTCATCATTCTAACCAACTCTTCTGGCAGCCTTTATACTTATAAAGCACTACTCCAAGCTCAGCAGAGTAAAGCAATGACCACTGTATCATGCTCACAGCCTGAGTGGGTCGGGCATTTGGAAAGAATCCAGAGAGACCAGCCTGTTTTCTGCTCCATGGTACCCAGGAGCTCAGCAGGGGAGATGCAGGCTGAGAGGGACCTAGAGGCAGGCTCCATCTGAAAGCTTCTTCATCTGCACAACTGGTGATCCTCAATGCTAGTGATCCATGAGCATCTCATCAGGGCTGTCAGTTACAGCACTCGAGTACTTGGCTACTCCAACTGGCCACCTGGGCCTGCTCTAGGTATGGTGGCTGGGCTCCATATAAGCAGCTCATGAGAGAAAGGGAAATGCCTCAGAAGTCCAGAGCCTTGAGGGTTTAGAAATGGTGTTGGGCCACTTGTGGAAAATCCAGGTAACTTAAAGTTCTACTTGTAAGTATAGGAGTTTCTAAGAATTTAGGCGCTTACTGCTAGCAAGTCCCATTAGAAAAGACAGGAATTTTAAAAGCAATCAGAATGGTATATACCACAGTAAATGTGTCAATGTCTATGATATATGTCACATTTGCTTTCAGAATTCTTACACTTGTGTATGTAGTTCTGTAATTCCTTAAGAGTGATACTGATATCTGTGGATAGCTGGGTGCTTTTATTTTAATTAATAAAATGATAGCGCTAATATCTCAAATGTACTAATAAACTATAAAATGATAACACTAGAGTTTAATACAGACATTTTTTAGACTTAGTAGGTTTACAAAAATATCAACAAATCAATACTGGAGAAATGTGGGAAAGAATTTTTGTTTTCTCCCACATAACCAGAGTCCAAAACTCTCCTTTTCCCCCTCTTTTTTCTTTTTATTAGAAGTGTAGTGACAAGTGACTTTGAGTGTGAGTGAATCTGTGTATAGCTGTGGTCTGCAGCCCATGATGTTGGTCTTGTTCACACAGGCTTCATGGCACTTTCTGAAGTTCACCCACCTAATGTCCATGTGTCCAGTGTGAACAGAGCAGAACCTGCCCAGTTATTAACTGAAACATACGCTAAGACAGTCAGCCCTGTCATTGGAGGATTATCTGCTTCGTGGTTACCACTACCAAATTGTTAACTACAGATCAGGGATAAACATGAATTTCAGGCTTTGTATAAACTAAATATAATTGCAAAGATAAATCTGCTGATGAGAAAAATAAAATTCAAAACACACAGTCTTAAATCCATAGGAAATTATACAGGTTAATTTACTTCCATTAGCGTGGACAACTTGGAGTTTAACTCAACAAACATTTACTGAGTATCTGACCTACACAAAATTCCTTGCTCTTTTTTGCAAGTGTGAGAGGCTAAAAGACCAAGATCCCTGCCCTCTGGTTGACTGGTATCCACTGAGAAAAGGAGGTAAGTGCTTCGTGATGTTCTTAGGAATGCCAGAGATGTTGAGACTTTGTCACTGCCAAATGATGCCTTTACATTGTGTTCAGTGAAATGGGTCTCTTTGCTTTGCTGAGGGCTGCATGACCATCCTTTTAGAGTTTGCCCCAGAGTGATGTGCCAGCCTTCCCTTCCTCCATTGACTCTCTTTGATCTTGAACCCTTTCCCTAACTTGGAGAGAGGGAAAGCCTGAAGGCTGAGACTTTTAAAACACCAAATTGCCTTATTCAGTAGTAGTGTTCATTCCTATGTGTTTCCATGCAGGATCCATAAATTTTAAAAACTACTTATCTACATGAGCATTTTATCCCAACAAAATATACATGGTGTTATCTCATGAATACTGTAAAAAGAAGCTTAACTGGAGCTTACTGTGCTTATACCTGCCAAGATGACTGTTGGCTGGTGATGTTCCCTCAAGCCACCAAGAGACCAGCAAAAGCTGCAGGACGTCTATTCCTATTCCCAGTGTGGCCAGAGTGCTGCCCTGAAGCTCCACCTACAGACACCTGCAGTGTATCTCCCCTTTCAACCACTTGGGAGACATCAAAGAGACATGGAGGGGCAGAAGCTCATCCCAGAGTTCTAGCACTGCCTGGTCTGAGCTCTACAGGTAACTTGAGTCAGGAGACCAGACTAGGTTGCTATCGCTGCCCTGGTGACCCTCAGGATTTGCCTTATTGCTCTCATTGCCACCCCTGCTAAGTACCAGCACGTGAACATGATTGCTGATCATTGAGCCTTTGAAGAGATGACAGCCCGGCAGTCAGCTGTTCTGCCCCCTCACAGTTGGCCCAAGGGACAGAAAGGGACCATGGTCTTCTTATTGTTTGATTCTTGTGGTCCCTTATACTTTCCTTACCTGGCTCCTTGAAGATGTGTGACTTCTACACTCCACCCAAGCACCTGGGTAACACAGCTCCTGCTGCAGGTCCAGGACAAGTGGAAGCCTCTGCAAGGACCCACCACACCCCTTCCAGTCTCCCTCCCCCATCTCTGATGTCAGTGCGGCTTGGTCCCAGGAGTTCCCTGGAGCAGACATAGGAGCCTCCACTCACTCCACTCACATAGTAAACTCCAGGTTTACTGACTTCCATCACAGAAAAAGAACTGTCAGCGAGAAGCACAGAGGTTTATTTAAGCAGAATTGTATTTTTTGTTAGGACAAGTTTGCAGTACATGATGTTTACATTCCTTGTGAGGAGTTGATACATGTACATAACATCTCATATGAGAGAAACCAGATGATATTTAAGCTACATTTCTGATGTATTTCACTTAACAGTGTGGTTTCAAGGTCCATCCATTTTCCTACAAATCACTCAAATTTTTCTTTATGGCAGAGTAGCCTCCATTGTGTAAAAATACCACATTTTCTTTATCCAATCATCTGCTGATGGACATACTGACTGCTTCCAAGATTTAGCTATTATGCATGTGCTGCTGTAAACATGGGTGTGCATGTATCACTGTAACACGATGTCTTTAAGTCTTTTGGTAAGATACCTAGGAGGGGAATAGATGGGTCAATGGAAGTTCTAGTTTTACTCTTTTGAGGAATCTCCATGCTGATTTCCATAGCGGCGGTCCTAGTTACACTCCCACCAACCATGCAGAAGGGCTGCTTTTCCCCACAGCCCCTCCAGCATTTGTTATTGTTGGATTCACCACAACAGCCATTCTTTCTGGGGTAAGGTGGAAAAGAGAGCCTGCCCCGCTCAGTTGAGTTGATGGGTGCTGCTGATTTTTGTGGGGTTTACCCACGAGGGTGGGGGGGACATGTGGGAAGGCCAAACGTTGACAGGTGTTTGAGACTGAGATAGGCTATGTGGCAAAGCAGAGCACTTCCTGAAGGCAGGTAGGAGGAGGGGACACAATCTACAGTCGAAAGGCACCGGCCCAGAGTTCAGTTAACAGGCTTCTTGTCTTTTATGACTCTTTAAAAACTTGTTTTGAGAGTTTCCCGGAAGGAGAAAAAAAAAAAAAAAAGCCTGAGTAACGTCTGTGTCCTCAATGCGACACTTTTTAAAAACACGATGTTAGAATCCATTTTTCTTGTCCCCACCTCACCTTCTCCAGGGGCCCCTCCAGGTGCGTGAGGCTGCCGGGTCTGTCCGCTGGCGCCCAGGCGGCCTGGGGCGTGCAGATGCCCTCGAGGCTCCGCGGCGCGACCCGGGTGGGACGGCACCGCAGGGCAGAAGGTCTAGGGAGCCAGGCTCGGCTCCTCCGCCGCCCGCGCCTGGGCCCGCGTCCCGCTGGGGGCGGGCGGAGCCGGCCGGGGCGGCGGGCTCGGGCGGGCTGCGGGCGGGCGCTCGGCGCGCTCACCTGGCTCCAGGAAGCGGGCGCGCGGGGCGGGGAGCGCGGGGCGGGGAGCGCGGGGCGGGGAGCGCGCCCGTCCCCTCCGCCGCCGTCAGCCCGCCGCGCGCCGCGAGGACGAGCTCGGCCGGAGCCCGCGCGGAGACCCCGGAAGGCGGCGCTCGGCGCGCACCTGCGCCTGGCGAGTTCGCGGCCGGCCGGCTGCTGCAGGCCCAGGCGGGTCCTTCGGCCGGGCAGGCGGCGGCGCAGCGCGGTGAGCGAGCCCGCGGGACGGCGGGGACGGCGGGCAGGGACGGCGGGGCCTTTGTCTGGCGCCTCGGAAGCGGGGCCGAGTCCCGCGGGACCCACCCGGGCTGTCCTCCCGCGGCTGGCTCCGGGCGCCTGGGCGGGCGGCGCTGCGCACCGGGGCAGCGGCAGGTGGCAGGCAGGTGACACGCGGCGGCCCGGCCGCACCGCGTCCCACTCCGCCTGGCGAGGGCGCCGGAGGGCGGCAGACAGACGGGGTCCCGGGGGCGGGCTTCAGCCGGGCCTGGGGTCCCTCCACCCCTGGAAATATGCGCGGCGAGGAGGGGGGAGTTTAGGGGGCGAGTGACAGCGGTCTGGAGAGGTCGCCCTCGGCCTTGGGGAGACCGGGTGCTGGCGGCTGGCGGGGACCCCAACCCGGCCCAGAGCGCTTGTTGACCGCACACCTGCCTGCTGCACGACCCCGGGCCCTTTCCTCTTGCCTTGGCGACGCTCAGATTCCCTTTGAGAGAAGGCGGCTACGGCAACGGAAGTCCTGCTTCCACCTTGCAGGGCCTGGCTCCTGCCCCAGATCCACGCGGGCCCACCTGTAGCCTCCTGTGGCCACTGCTCACGTTGCCAGCTGTGCTGTGCTGGGTCTTCCTGGCATGAGTGCCTTGTTGTCAAGGTTTGACGCCCCAGGTCGACTTGCTTAGGGTCTCACTTGCTGTCACTGTGGGTCCTACGGTATGCTGTGTGGGTCTCCTGTCTCCAGGTTTGGAAGATGGAGTGGGCTTTGGACAGTGGTTTAAGTTCCTTGAAGACCCAGTAAGCCCTACATAGGGAGTCCCGATTCTTTGCTCTGTTTTTCAGCAAGGCAATTTGCTAGCCCCCAGTGTGTGTGGTTTATCTTTGCGTTGATGAAAGAAAGGCCTTGGCTAGGGCATGAGTTAGGGTGGTGGGAGTTAGACGTGGGGTGGGGAGTTCCTCCTGTTCTGACCATCAGGCACCAAGGGAAGGTTTTCATGGAAAAAACTTTGGGGAACATTCTACTTAAGACTTGAGTTTTATGGAGATTTTATCAGGCCACGCTCAGGGAGGCATTTTCCAGATGGTCATCCACAGGTCAGGGAGCCATCCTGAACCTACTCATTCTTCCAGGCCACTTCCTGGCATGTACCCCCCAGTGATATGGGTCCTGGAGGGATGTCCTACTAGAAGCTGGGTCAGAGCCACTCCATATTAAGGGTCATCCAGAGCCCTGTCAGTGTGGGCACCTCCTAACCATGCAGGATCCCACCAGCCTCCAGTATTTGTTTGTTTGTTAAAGTTAGACCCGCAGAAACAATCTAGTTAAAAATGATTGTGAATGTTGGACAAGAACTCCCGAGAATTTAGGTGTTCTAAGATGATCACTTCTTTTAAGTGGGAATTAAACAGAAGCAATTTGGTTCAAAACCATTCAGAAATCTTCCTAAAGTCCCACATCTGTGCCCAAAGATGAGAAAGTATAAGCTGAGTAACCTGTTTTACTTTTCTTTCCTTGTGTTTTGTTTTGTTTTGTTTATTTTTTGGTACAGAAATCAAGTCAGAGTCTCATGCTTGCCAGGCAGGTGCTGTGCCCCTGAACTATATCCCCAGCCCTAAATTGCCTAGTCTGGATTTTAGTGGCTCTGTCATAGTTTTAAACGTCAGTTCTTACAGTGTCGTCCATGGTGTGAGTGACTGTGTGCTGAAAAAGAACAGAGGTTGTTTTCTATTTCTGTGTACGTTTTTTATTGCTCATTGGGAATTATTTTGTTTGACTTGTTTCTGTCTAGGTTCTTTAAAACAATCACATAATTGAGATTAGCTACTGCCTCTCTGTAGTTTTGAATACCTGGCAGCATTTACTGACCACTACACATTGCCAGACTCTCTTCTGTGAGATTTACTACTTCATTTACAAATCATAATGCCCGTAGGCACCCCTCGGTTGACCTTCCGTTACCGGCCAGTAGGCTAAGGCACAGAAAAGTTAAGTAAATAAATCAAGGGCATAGTTAAGAAGAAGCAGCGTTTACTTGAGGGAGAATTCTACCAGCTTGCGCTGGTTCCCTTGCATGTCTTTGGTAAGTAAGTCACCTTGAAGTTGCCCTTGATTTCTGACTTTTATAAATTCCACCGTGAAGCAGTAAACACGTTCAATGAAATATGCTTCCTTCTCAAAGTGACTGTCACCTGTCTTTGTTATCGTCCCCTCCTCGGCTGCCTTTGTTGTTAATAAAGGAGAAAAAGTTTCAATGATTCAGTATAATTTTAAATAGCCACTAAGCAGTGAGACACTTCAGTTGGACCATGATAGCCCACTTTTGGAAGCCCGGGAGCTGTGTAGAATGGAGTTGACATTAGGGAGCCCTAATGTCTCATGAACAGAAATGCCAGTTGAGCAGCTGGAACGTTGTCCTGGATAGGTTTTTAACTCTCTATCAAAATCAGTTTCTTGCAGTGAGAAAGCTTATGCAAGAATGGGGGCTAGCCAGGCAGGTTTGTGATCTGTAGGGAGCCTGATACACAGTGTGCCCAAGACTGTATGTACAAGCAGAACGGCCCTCCCGTCCCCCCAGGAAAACTGCAGGTACATCGTCTGAAGCTACCAGAAAGTCTTGGAAAATACAGAATTATGGTTCTGTATGTTTCATTCTAAGCATTGGGAACAGTACTGACTAGGTCTGAGCCAACATTATAAAAAAATTAGGTGACAAAAGATTGAGAATAAACAGTCTAGTATGAGATTAGTCTCTGGAATATATAAAATGTTCTGAAATTCTATAGTAGTATAAAATTAGACTCTCGAGAGTAAAACATGTGACCAAATAGGCTCTATAAATCTAAGAGAAAAACCTAAATGGATTAATAAAATACGTAAAGAACTTTAACCTACTGGTAACCAGGGAAATGAAAACCGGAACAGTGCTAAGGTACTTTTCCACATTGATCATACTGATAAAATGTTATATTGTGACTGTGCCAAGCACTGGGTACGTTGCAGAGAACTGAAAGCTCACATTAGCAAGTAGAGTTATAAACGGGAACAAATGTTTTACAGAATGATCTAGAAAAGCTGCAGATACTGATCTGTCCTGGAGCCTCAAAACTTCCTTTCCATGTACACATATGGAGGGCTTGGTCATAGTATGGATGGTCACTGAGGCAACTTGCTGAGTATATTTGTTTCCAAATACTTATTCAATGCAATTGTAAGCACTAATACAGAGACCTCACATAGCCTTACCTAGTTTCCACCAGGGTAACATCTTACAAAACTGCAGAGAAACATCACAACCAGGAAATAAACATTGATGCAACGTAGGTACCTCATTTGGAATTCAGACTTCACCAGTTTCTACATGCCCCGGTGACTATGTGCGTGCATGAGTGCGTGTATGTATGCATTTAGTTCCTATGGAACTTTATCATCCTGTGCACAGTCACACCTGTGATGACCACCACAGTCAGGGAACAGAAGCATTTCATTGCAGGATGATGCCTCATGATACTGTGAAGTCACAGCCAACTTCCCCCTTTCCACTCCCTAACGTCTAGCAACAGCCAAGCTGTTCCTCATTTTTTGTAACCTTGTCATTTTAAGAATGCCATGTGTGTAGATTCATTCCTTGGGGAACCTCTTGCAGTTGGCACAGTGCCCTTGCAGTCTGTCCGTGTTGCCCAGCGAATCCGAAGTGCATTCTTTCCTGCTGCTGTGAACTGTCTTGTGGTGTGGGTGGACAAGTGTTTAACCATTCGCCATTTCACAACCAGAGTTATTTCCCATTTTGGGTTATTTGGCTTAAAACTGCTATGAACATTCAGGTACAGATTTTTGTGAGAATACTTTTCATTTCTCTGGGATAAATGCTCATGAACACAATTACTGAGTCCTGTAGTAAAACCAATGTTCAATTTTATAAGAAATTGCTGACTCTATAGAATGGATGTACAACTTTGCATTCCTAGGTCTAAGTGACCCTTGACCTCTACAGCCTGGACTACATTTGAGATTATCACTTTTTGAAAAGAATTTTACATGTGGGTTTAGCTTAGTAGCATAAGCGCCTACCTGGTAAGCATACGGTCTGAGTTTGAACCCCGGTACCAAAAAAAAAAAAAAAAAAAAGAATTTTACCTAGAATTTCTCCTAAAGAATTTACAATAATTGATTGTTTTATGTGTAACGATATGAACAGCTACTTTGAAGAAAAAGAGACATTATGGTAGACATTGCTGATTTCCTGTTAAGTCTGGTAATGCTCCTACTCTTTGTTTAGATTGGTTTTAGTCTGTTTGTATTATTTAATTTCAGTATATATGAAGGTATGGACAGCTGTTTTTAAGAGAGCAAGAAACATTATGGTAGCCAGTGTTGATTGTCCTATAGTCTGGTTTTAAAGGCATGTAACGCTTTGATTCTTTTGTTTTGATTTGTTTTATACTATTTTGTTTTGCTTGAATTCACTGTGTGTGAAGATATGAACAACTATTTCAAAGAAAACAAGAGACATTTCAGTGACCACTGTTGATCTCGTGTAGTCTTGCTTTGATATCTTGTGTCACTTGCGTTGCTATGTTCTGATCTGCTTTGTTCTGTTTTATGCTCTTTAAAATAAAAAAAAAAAGAATTTTAGCTGTTCTAATAAATGTGTAGTGATAGTTCATTGAGATTTTAATTTGCATTGCCCTAGTGAGTAGTGATATCAAAGGCCTTTCTGTATGCTTGTTTGCGTCTGTGAATTCTCTTTGGTGAAAGCCCATTCATCTGCTCATTTTCTAATTGTGTTGTTTGGCTTTAACTATTTAGTTTGCTTAGTCCTTCATATTTTCTAGATAACAGTCCTACTAGTTTGCAGATTTTTTAAAAATCTTTTTACTTTTGTCTTTTTACTTTCCCCAGAGGGTTTTTGTTAGAGAGAGTTTTTCATTTTGACGCATTTCAGTGTATTACTTTTTCCTTTCTTGGTGTGAAGTCCACAAAGCTGTGTTGAAGACGTCTTA